AAAAAAAAAAAAAAAAAACAGTGAACATCCCTGACTTGGAGGAAAATGAAGCTTGAAGTCATATATGTGTTAAAATGTGCAATTGTTTTAGCGTTGCTAGCCCACTGTGTAGAGAAACACATAGTCGAATTTTGATAAGTATATTTATTGAATTAAAAAGCAGTACGGGCCTCAAAGACCTTGTGAGGGAATGGAAGAGGGTAGTAACCAGGGCCAGGAACACCCATAAGTAGCATTTAAATCTCGCATGTAGGCAAGCCTCAATAAATCGTATCCATTGTTCAGGTTTTTCTGGATTTTAGTGCACGCTGTATTTGCGAACGTGGCGGACAAATATGACCTGATGAATGATGCAATGTCGGTTGGCATTCACCGACTATGGAAGGTTACTTCATTTTAATTGTTTTTTTACTAATATTTCTTGATCTTCGTGTTTTTTTGGTGGTACCCACTGCATATGTGATCTGTTTTGGAGGCTTTTTCTTTGGTTTTTTTTTTTTTGGCTTTTTCGCGAATTCCGCACCCTGATATTATTTGTCAGCAAAGTGATATTTTCCACCTGCCAGATTATATGTTGTCGTATGGTCACACTAACATTCTGCCCAACGTGTATGTTTTTTTTTTTTTTTTGGTAAAATCCACCATTGAGCCTCATTTTCATATTGAATGTTCAAAGATTATTATCTTTTTCTAATAGTTCTGGATCTTCGTGTCTTTTGCTGGTTACTCAGCCGTTGTTCCCCTCATTTTACTGATTTATTATGCTGAATAGATTCCCAAATAGTGAGTCCCTCTGGATGTGTCCGCCTTTGCTTGGACAAGTTATTATTTAGCCTCATCTTGCCGAGTTACGATTCTGCAGCCAATTTTTTTGGATGTGCAGAGATAGTATCTTAGCCTTTGTTATGCGTTTTGTGCTGTGTAACAACAGTACAAAACGCATATTGTCACGGGGTTGTCTGTGTGTGTGCTTGTGTGTGTGTGTGTATGTGTGAGTGTGTGTGTGTCCCACATTTTGTCTCGCACTTTCAACTCGGGAATCACAAAAGCTAAGCGGCTGAAATTTTGGTATAATATTCCCCGCCAACAGGTGACGCGGCAAATTTAAATTCAGCCTTTCCGTACCCGCGGGTAATACGTACGGCCCCGTGAAAGTTTTTTACGCGAACCACTGGGTCTAGAAGGCTGGAATTTCAGGGTAATGACCCCTTCCCCACGCTCAACCTTGCCTATTCAAATTTAGCGTTCTCGCGCTCTTGAGTATCACCTACAGCCTCGTGAAAATTTTGGCGGCTAAACTATTAATTCGGGAATCGCGGAAAGATATTCACCTTTCAAGGTTTCGAATTCAGCTTTCATGCACTGGTGCTTGGAATTTTTAATTGTTTTCCAAAGTTTGAACTATTTTTGCATAGACTAAAGTACAAAGCAGTGAAAATCATTAATAGGCT